AGCCAAATATGTAGAGTGCTTCCCTCCTGAGGTAAGTAAGCTATACCTACGCATGTCTCCTCATAGCGGCCAAATATGTAGAGCGCTTCCCTCCTGAGGTAAGTATAGTCATTAAATATGTAGAGTGTTTTCTTCCTGAGGTAAGTAAGCTAGCTAGTTATACCCTTCTCTGTGATTCCCCCTGAAGAAGGCACCTCCATACACATAATCTTGCCTGGTTACATCATCATTCTACATCCTCCTATTTGTGTTAAGATCACCAGCCTCTGTAACTTGACGGACAACACCTATGAGCCACAACAGGTCCTGGACATGGAGAAGTTCATCCTGAAGGAGCTGAAGTTTGACCTTAACTTCTGTGAGCCAATCATGTTTCTCGACAGATTCTTGGAGGTAGAAAAGGAGGATAAGGAGGTACTGTGTATATTGTTTGGGCTGGTTATGCCATTTATTGCCCAATGAACTTCAATTTTTAGCTCACCTGGCTCGAAGGGCCATGTGAGCTTATGCCGTACTGTGTCGTCCGTCGTCCGTCCATCAACTTCTTCTGAAGAACTGGAGGACCTAGGGTCATGATAGTAGGTTCCCGGGATGGAGTGCTATACAGTATCCTCATTAGAATGACCTTGATCTATTTTCAAGGTCACTGGGGTGAAATATGTTCAAAAATTCAAACAACAATATCCTAAGAACCATTTGGACTAGAGTTTCTTTCATGATACTTGGGTATGTTATGTAGACCAGCAGTGCGAATCGTTTTTTTAATTACAGTAATGAGGTCAAATGTCAACTTTAAGTGCTAGCTGGAGTCAAAGGTCAACATGGGTTAAAAGCTTTAAAATTACAATTTCAAATTTCAAACAACAACATCTTCAGAACCGTTTAAGAGATGTTAAAATGTCTTGTGTTCTAGTTACCAAATTTGGTCTGAATTTACCTATATGTCAGTTTCACGTAACAAAAGAAACAGGTGAGCGATACAGGCCCTCTGGGCCTCTTGTTCTGAATTCATTTTCTGTTTTCATCCGATAGCAGTGTATTAATGATTGGTTTGACCTTAAAAGAACTATGCTTGTTCTGATCAGTTCTGGATAAAACTGATTAGTTGACAATTAAAATTACCAAAAACTTCCAGTTTTCTTTATGTTTGTTATTTTACAATATTTTAAATAATACATTTTTTTCTAACAAAAGCCCTTTATCATTCATTGAAACTTGATTGACATTATATTTCTGTCCACTTCCTGTTTGAACTATAACTTCTGAGTGGTTTGATTCGTTTTATTGGAACTTTGTACACATGTCACAAATAGATGATTTGATGTAAATCACTTTCACAACCTTTGAACTAATGATCAGTGTTACTGTTATAAGTCTGATCTAACTGCTTATATCAAGATCAGAACTTTAATATAATTACAGATAATGTTGGTGACACTTCCTCCCTGTGTATGACACTTCCTCCCTGTGTATGACACTACCTCCCTGTGTATGACACTTCCTCCCTGTGTATTACCCTTCCTCCCNCCTGTGTATTTACCTTCCTCCCTTTGTATGACACTTCCTCCCTGTGTATGACACTTCCTCCCTTTTGTATTACCCTTCCACCCTGTGTATTACCCTTCCTCCCTGTGTATTACCCTTCCTCCCTGTGTATGACACTTCTTCCCTTTTTGTGACACTTCCTCCCTGTGTATGACACTTCCTTCCTGTGTATTACACTTCCTCCCTGTGTATTACCCTTCCTCCCTGTGTATGACACTTCCTCCCTGTGTGTGACACTTCCTCCCTGTGTATTACCCTTCCTCCCTGTGTGTGACGCTTCCTCCCTGTTTATGACACTTCCTCCCTGTGTGTGACACTAACATCCTGTGTGTAACACTTCCAACCTGAGTGTGACACTTCCTCCCTGTGTATTACACTTCCTCCCTGTATATGACACTTCCTTCCTGTGTATGACACTTCTTCCCTGTGTGTGACATTTCCCCCCTGTGTATGACCCTTCCTCCCCTGTGTATTACCCTTCCTCCCTTTGTGTGACTCATTCTCCCTGTGTATGACTCTTCTTCCCTGTGTGTGACATTTCCTCCCTGTGTATGAAACTTCCTCCGTGTGTGTGACACTTTCTCCCTGTGTATGACTCTTCTTCCCTGTGTGTGACATTTCCCCCCTGTGTATGACCCTTCCTCTGTGTGTGTGACACTTCATCCCTGTGTATGACCCTTCTTCCCTTTTTGTGACACTTCCTCCCTGTATATGACACTTCCTTCCTGTGTATCACACTTCCTCCCTGTGTGTGGCACTAACATCCTGTGTGTAACTCTTCCAACCTGAGTGTGACACTTCCTCCGTGTGTGTGACACTTTCTCCCTGTGTATGACCCTTCCTCTGTGTGTGTGACACTTCATCCCTGTGTGTGACACTAACCTCCTGTGTGTAACACTTCCAACCTGAGTGTAACTCTTCCTCCCTGTGTGTGGCACTAACATCCTGTGTGTAGCACTTCCTCCCTGTGTGTTACCCCTCCTCCCTGTTTATGACCCTTCCTCACTGTGTGTGACACTTCCGCCCTGTGTATTACCCTTCCTCCCTGTGTATTACCCTTCCTCCCTTTGTGTGACACATTCTCCCTGTGTATGACACTTCCTCCCTGTGTATAACACTTCCTCCCTGTGTATGACACTTCCTCCGTGTGTGTGACACTTTCTCCCTGTGTATGACACTTCTTCCCTGTGTGTGACATTTCCTCCCTGTGTATGACACTTCCTCCCTTTGTGTGACACATTCT